AAAAAAAAAAAAAAAAAAAAAAAGAAAAAAAAGCAAAAAACTAAAATTAACAATAGTGCCATATCATTAATTGAGTAATCTACTCTGGCAGTATTGCAAACCACACAAATGTGTCTAATGATTACCGGAAAAGATGGAAAGTTGAAGCATGGAATACAACAAATAAATGAAAAAAATTGGAATATATAATTGGATAAAGCAGAAATCACTATATGCTCAGATAAGAACAGTTTTTTTTTTTTTTTTTTTGATGACCGTAATGCTTAAGCGATGTTCTCGACAACAGATGAATAAATCGTGTACTATAACCACGTTTATGGCTTCACGGTTGACTGCCGTTATTAGAAGAAATAAACAGTAAGTGGTTGCTAAAAATGAGTAAAAAAAAATTTGATTCTACATAATAAAACAAAAGTTATAACGAAGAAAAAGTATGATTATTGCTTATTTAAGAACTTTTAACACATAACTATGACAAACTGTGCACATCATCATTTCTTAAACCTTCGTGATCAGTTTAACAGAATTCGCATACAATGTTCTTGAACACTGGTGAGAACTGTCTGTAAAAATGTACTCCTCTTAGTCAGTAAAGTGTTGAAGTTGGATTATGTTTATTAAGCAGTTTGCCAAATACTGCCTTAGCATATCAAAAAAAAATAAGTAAAAATTTACTAACGATAAACGTTTTATATACTGACAATAGCAACAATTGAAAAACTGATAGACTTATATGTTTTTGTTTAGCATCGATCCTGATAGGAAGTGTGACTGCCACTGTGTTCAGTGAAACATTTATGCTTATTTATTTGACTTTTATCTTTTTGCATAACATATTTTATGAATATTTTTTTTTAATGTTTAACTACATTTTGCTCTGAATACAAATGCAAATTTTTCTTTTTGTTTCTACCCAGTAAAAAACACGAAGAGAAGAACAGAAAAAGCCCAGCGAAGAACAAGAAGAAATTCCTACTGTTTTTTTCTCGATTCGTTTTTTTCTTCTGAAACAAAATAACAGTAAAGCATTTATTTACAGATATTTGCATTTGATAGGTTTAGACGGAACATATGGTGAACAAATTCGTTGAAAACAAAGCAAAGCAACAGGTAAAGCAAAGAAAAAAAAACACCTCTTCGACAGTCACCGAAGATTGATAGACATCCCTCCATTCATTTTCACTCTTTTTTTTTTCTTGACTTTTTTATATTCTCTTCTGTAATCTATCAAAGGAGAACAAACCGTGAGAAAGTTGAAGATAAAATTTGGATAAAAAAAGAACTCTTCTTCAAACTTTTTTTTTTTTAAATTTATATTTTTGCACTCCTTTACCCATTCGGAATGCAATAAAAAACTACCAACCAAAAAATAAAAAATGAAAATAAAGTAAGAAAATAAAAAAGAAAAATAAAAGTTGAGAAAGAAAGAGAACAAGAGAAGAAAGAACAATTAAACAAACGTTATAAATATATTAAAATGAACAATTGCTATCAAAAATGCAACTTTTTTTCTGATAATAATACATAGAATAGACAAAAAAAAGTAACATTTTTGTTATGCAATTTTTTTTTTTACTTTTTTCTCTTTGTTTTTTCTTTTATTGTTTTTTTTAATTTATTTTTTTTCGTTGTTGTTGTTGCTTTTTTTTATGCTTAATGAGTTGTCTTTGGTGTACTGTTGATAAAGACAATAATAAGTTGCTACAATATAAAATAAAATCAGTAATTGCTTTTTGGCCACCGATAGTCGATCAGCACCAACTGGTATACCTACAGATTTCATATTCAGCTGGATAACTTCGATCAAAGAATCGTCCATTTACATACATTGTTGGCCATAGTTTAATTCCTAAAACAATAAAAGATTATTGACTTTGTACACCAGTTTTCTGTACCAAAAAATATCATCGGTTTGTTCAGCCACAAAATCACCTACCGGCTCGATGTGTATTGACCATAGAATAGTAGTTGAGAAGTTCACCAGCCTGCGTGGTGGAACATGTAATTAGTCGACGTTGAGTACGTGGTGTCAAACGCGACAAACACCTGATAAAAGCTTCCTGTAACGATGACAGTCCCTGGATACAGGTAACCAAACCCAGATGACGTTTTGGGAAATACTGCAATAGTGCTGTTAAGATAGTCAGCTCTACATTTTTATTGTTTCTTTGTTAGTCAGTTAATTAGAATATAGAAAATTGACTTTAAAAAACTCAAAAAAAAGTTTTTTATTGGTTTTTATGTTTTTAAGATTAGTAGTTTAATGTTAATGCAGGCCTTTATCGGCAAGAAAAACTTTTAAGGTTAAAACAGTCGGGAAAGTCTGTAGAATAATATGACAACATACCGACATAGCACAGTTCTGTAAACGATTTAGATCACATTCATGAGGTCCATGCATACAATGACACTGTAGTGTTCGATTCGAGAAGTATTCACAGTCACCTTTCCCAAATGGTACAATCTAAACGAAAACATAGGAAAACTAAGTAAAAAAATCGAATAAAGCTATACTTTTTTTGCTTTCTCAGATTTTTCTGCTTTATTCTTTACGTATCTTTTTTATTTTCAAATTTTTTTTTTTTTTCTGTAACTGAACCTACTGAATTCGTACCTTTTTTAGTTCACTTTTTTTTAATAGTCTTCTTGCACTGCAAATTCATCTTTACAACCACGCTCATTTTACTCCTCTGTTATTTAAAACATTAGAAGACCTACAAAAAAAAAGAAAAACATTCTCTTCTGTTGTGCTGTTCGTATAATCTTTCTGCTAATTTTTATAACTTCATTGAAAAAGCAAAAAAAAAAAATTTTGAATAATTTTTTTAAATTATTTCTTAACTTGACAAATTAAAAATATTTTTTTTTATACAGTTATTCGTTCAGCTTTTTCATCACCTGCTTCCTCTCCCTTCCTCTTCCACTTCCTTCCCCATTTTTTCCTCGTTCATATTACAACTTCCATCGTCTTTTTTGATATCTTTTTTAGCGTATGACAAACAAAAAAATATCTTGTTTTTTTCTTCTGGCATTGCTGAATTCTCAGTCGAAAGACTGCTTCGCAAAAAATTTCTTTTCTTTTTTTACTAGTTGCTACAGAATGACGATTGTTAGTGTTTTTGTAAAACAACCATAAATAAATTTACGATTTTTGTATCTAAAACAGAGGAAGCCAGGTGATCAGAAATGGAGAAAATACGAGACAATAAATGGCGCTTTTATGACCGGCTAATTTTTTTGAAGACGCGTCTAAACTTTAACCAAACATGATTCCAAAGATCAACCTGCAGGCTAGGCGTTGCTCAAAACCGCTGTCAATTACAGTCAGATTAACCGGTAAATCAAAAAACGATCAGGCACTGCAAAGAAAAAAAAAAGAAGTAAATAAGTCCAAAAACCTCTGAAATAGATTTGAGAAGTTAATAAATGATACTTTTCAGTTTTTTAACCAGTTTTTTCATTGTTACTGCAATCGACTTCCGCCTGTTTCGGCTCAAACCTCTCCTCTCACTTTTGACAGTACTTTTATGCGTTAAAAAGTTTTAAAAAATGTTTATTCAGAAACACAGTTTTTTATGCTCTGTTTTCTTCGCCTTCAGTTAATAATTTCTGTAACAAAAAACAGCAGAGTTTCCCTTTTCCATTCCGTCTTTCTCGTACTTTCAGAGCTCTCACTTCTTTTTAGCTCTCAACCTCATTAACCTCCTTCTTTGATTGTTCCTCGTAACAATCTTGATTAAGTTTGTTCTCCCTTTTTTTGATACGCCCATAACTTTATTATATTTTGTTTAAGATAGCTGTTTTTAGAGGCAGTTAACTGGTAGATAAACACTACTTCTTCCCGTTTTTCTGTCTCGCATTTCTCCTTTTTCCTGCCAACAGGTCCAAAACGATGAAAAACATTAAGGCGTTTAAAATAACAAACATTTTTTCGTTTTTTTTTTTCTTCTCAGCACTCTTCTGCTTCTCACTTAATACTTATTTTTCTAAAATTTTTTAACCATTTCAAACTACGCAACATTTGCTTTCATTTACTCTACGCAGAACTGGGAAGAAACTGTAAAGTTTGTTTTTTTCTAACCAAACTTTTTTTCCTAAAAAACTTCCTATTTGCTGTATTAAATAGTAAATACGAAAAACCATTGTATAGTGTGACTGCTTTGTTCACTTTAAGTATACTGTTTGCCTTCTGGAAAAAACTAAACATATCAACAAACGTAGAAAAAAAAAAGAAATGAGAAACAACACATTCAATGGAATTAATTCTCCATAAACTGTCGCTTAGTAAATTTTTTTTTTCAGTTTTTAGCAGGTGTTTGTTTTATTCCAAAAATTTTTTGGTGTATTTTGAAATTTTAAGCTGCTTTTTAAAATCATTAGAAAAAGTGATGCTTGTTATCGATAATGACACAACGACAACAACCAGATGCTGTTTAGTGGCTGACAATTGACATTTTTTGCACTTATGATTTGCTGCATTGGTCAGAACCATTGTGAAGATGAATCAAATAGCACAATAGATGAAATGTTTAACTGGATGAGACAAAAATGAAAAAGGAAAAAGTGAAATAAAATAAGCTTTGGAAACTGGTATAAGACAACAGTTTACGATTCACCAACCTGTAGGTTCATCACTCCCGGATGCTTGTGATGAAATGGCCAAATCTGTTCACGTATCAGTCTGGTACAGTAGGGACACTGCGATTCCATGAATATGGTTACGTTGACCCGTTGGGTAACAACGACTGGAACAACGGCGGCTATGCACACCAGTACTGACAATTTCAGCAACATCCTTTCTTTGTTTTGGTTGCTGCCCACGAAAAAAAACAATTAGTGGAAAGTTTTTTTCGCCTTTTGTATTCCAATTTATCCTTTTAACGGTGTGCTTCCTCTACCGTTCTTTTTTTCCCAATTTCCTTTGCTACTTTCTTCAATTGTTTCTTTTCTGTTTGAGAGAAAAGATTAATTTTCTTTAGTTTTTCTTTTTACCGCTTTTTATTGCGAATGACCAAGATGATGAGAAACAAGAAGGAAGGATGCCTTATTTTAACTGCTTTGTTTGGTTTGTCTTCTTCGTTTATGTACTTCTTTTTCAACTGCTCCTTCTTTTCCTTCCCGTTTCGGCCTAAAAAAATCACTGATAAGTTAGAAAAGGAATGTAAGAAAAGGGCAGCGAAAAATAACAGTTGACGAACGAACGGAATCACTCGTATAATAAAGAAGAAAATTTTAACTGTTGTAATATTTGACTACGTATATGAACAAATTTTTTGCCTATCTTATGTTGTTATTTTTTTCGCTTTTTTTTTTGGCCTTCTTAGGGCTCGTTTTTTTAAATCCAGAGAATTAAAAAAAAGAACAAATGTTTCTTTTTCGTCTTCTTTAGAAAATAAGAAATCAATATCCCTTTTTTACAGCATAAAAAATTGTCATCTTTGTTCATCTCAGCTTTTTTTTTTTTTTTTTTTTT